CTTAGGAATCTCCAACTCTTGAGTCCTCTCTTTTGAAACAAACTCCACACTTGCCTCCTTCACCCCATGGACACAGTGTGTCTGTCTCTCTCAGGCTTTCCTTAATTAAAAGTACTTGCTTCTTGGGGCTGCGGCCTGCAGTGCCAGCATCCCATATGGGCGCTGGTTAGAGTCCTGGCTGCTCCACTTTTATTTTTTAAGATTTATTTTATTTATTTGAAAGTCAGAATTACACAGAGTGAAAAGGAGAGGCAGAGAGAGAGAGAAAGAGAGGTCTTCCATCCACTGGTTCACTCCCTAATTGGCTGCAGCGGCCGGAGCTACACCGATATGAAGCCAGGAGCCAGGAGCCAGAAGCTTCTTCCAGGTCTCCCACGCGGGTGCAGGGGCCCAAGCACTTGGACCATCTTCTACTGCTTTCCCAGGCCATAGCAGACAGCTGCTCCACTTCTGATCCAGCTCTCTGCTATGGCCTGGGAAAGCAGTAGAAGATGGCCCAAGTCCTTGGGCCCCTGCACCCGCGTGAAAAGATCTGGAAGAAGCTGCTGGTTCCTGGCTTTGAATCGGCTTCGCTCTGGCCGTTGTGGCCATCTGGGGAGTGAGCCAGTGGATGGAGAACCTCTCTCTGTCTCTGCCTTTCAAACAAATATGAAACTTGCTTCTTACCAGTGCTCTTCCTCTCTTGGCACAGATTTATACCGACTTAATATTTGCGGAACACCTGTCGTACGCCAACCCACACCAAACCTAACTGACGCTACCTTCCCTTCATAACCATGAGGAAGGAGGCATCATCTCCTGACGCAAAAGAGGACCCGGAGGCTAAGAAAGGTGACACAGCTTGCCCAGGTCTTAGAGCTGGTGGAAGCGGTATCAGAATGCACGTCAGACCCGTAACAGATAACACACACACAGTTCTTTCCCAGAAGTAATTTTCTGCCATCGGTCGATCTGGAGAGCTTACCTTCGTATAACAAAAAGGTACTGAAGGGATCACTAAGGCAGCACCCTGCTTTGTTCCTAAGTTAACTACCCACCCCCAAAAGCCCCACGGTGACTTAATTTTTAACAGTTTATGTGGAACTTTTATCAAAGGAATTTAGAAGGTTTAAACACATCGTATCCAGTAGTTGTTCCCACTGGCTTGCTTGTGAACCCCACCTATAGTCAGTTAATTAGAAGTCACACCCCCACAACTGCCTCCAGGTTCCATGGATAGGTCACTGGCTTTTTCTGTTTGCCTGGCTGAGCGCTGAAATGGACTCAACTCCGATTTTCGTCACCCTGTTTCTAGGAACTCTTATAGGCAGGGAGCAGAGTTCACACCTTTTAGCATTAAAAACATTTATCAAAGACTTTGAGGCCTCTGTAACCTGGCCGAGCTGCCATTTTGTTTCAGGCTTGTGTAATTCTTCATCTAGACAACCAAGCTTGGGCCAACCACACTGCCTCTGTTATGGCCAAGCACCAGCGACTCTCCCTTCCCACGACACCCAGCTGAACAGCACGCTCGCTGCCAGGAGCAGCCCTGCCTCATCCTTCCTCCCCGTCCAGAGCAGGACTCACGGTCTAGCGCTTCCACTAGCCTTCCTGGACCTCCCGCTTCTCCATGGACCGCTCCTGCTTCTAGAGCCCCGTGATAGTCTCCTGCATCACTCATTCTACACACAGTTGTCTCTGAAATGTTTATCTTGTCACTTCTCTGAGCTCCTGCAAGGTGAGGACTACAACACTCGTTTTTCTTGGGCGCTCACATCTCTCAGGAATGCCAGGCAGAGTGTGGATGCACAACCAACACCTGCGTTAGGCACCAGGATGAACCTCCTTATGGAATCCAAGGCATTTCCAGAAGGCTCTGGCGGCTCTGCGTCAGCTGACCCCTTGAAACACTGTCCCATTAGGAGGGCGAGTTAGTTTGGGACAGAGTATTGAGGGCTGGGTATATTTGTACTGGGGAGGTAGACATGCTATGCAGGCACCAAACCAGCAAGCACGCTCTCTGAGTGAGGCAAGAACACTGTTTACAAAGGATCTTCGTGTGTAATATTATGTATCGCTCTCCAGGAATGAATATTTTAACCATCAGTATTAATTTATCAGAAAAGTCACGTTTTTCTCCAAATCTAAAGCTTATTTCCCCATAAGCATTATGAAAAGAAACACAACTACTTAAAAAAAAGAATTACCATCTAGCTAGACCCAGGCCATCAACCTGATGGAGTGAGAAAACTCAACAAATCACGGAAACTCATTGACACGCTTCCCCTCACTGTGGCTTTGGGTCAGGCCTAGAATCTCAAACTAACGGTTTTGGCTTCTTCAGCTTTAGCACACATCTGGCATGAAAGCCTCACTACTGCAATGCTAAAGCAAGTCACCTAGTTACACAAAAGAGGATTAAACAATCATTTATACTAACAAATACAATTTTTTTTACTATGTACCTCATGAACGAACGGTAATGATATGTGGATACGAGAAGAGAGTCAACCACGGCTCTTATAAAAGAAACCGCCAATGGAGTTTGGTAAAGAAAGATGTGAGAAACCGTCTCAGTGTGCTGATCATATTTAGAAACTGATGAACCCTGGTTCTTACCTCATCCACATTGTTACTGGCCCCATGACAATTTCTGTGAGGCAAGAACAGCACCTTTGCTAAGCCAGAGCGATGTGCTTTTCTTATATACCACAAGAGGACTGAACTAAGGATCCCAAGAACATTTTCAAAGTCGCTCAGACTCAGGTAACACCCTAACAAAAGCAAAGTGAAACTCCTGGTGAACATTACTCACTGATCTTCTGTTCCAAAAAACTTCACAAAGAAGCATTTCTTTCCACGTGGTTTCTTCAAGTCTTTGGGTGGATTAACAATCTGGAGGATAAGAGGGAAAAAAAGGCTTAAAGGAGACATAGCAGCCCACTAGGCAGTAATTTTCCACAACTCTAAGATGGGAGGAAAAAAAGTGAAACAAAACACCAAAATAATATGTAGAAAAATAACCCAGGGTGTAGTACTTATCCAAATCTGGGACTTTTCTACTGAGATACACGGAAATGTGCAAATAGTTTAGATAATCTCAAATAACTAACAGGTTGTCCACTAGACAGTACCCCTTTGACTACGACTGCTGTTCTACTACATGGACACCCACCCTGACCCAACCTGCCTGCAATGTGACCCCTGTCCTCGCTGGAGAAATGGATAGGCCAGTTCCTCAAAATAGTCCCTGTGCAGGCAGAGCCGAGACAGAGTATAATGAAAATAAACGACAACTGAGGCACAGGAAACACCATATTGCAAAGAATCTAAAGACATCTCCTGGGCTTCCAGCAGGAATATAAAAACAGAACATTTGGAAGGCTATGCCGGATCCCCTCGCGCAGATCCTGGAATGCTGACTTCTGCGAAGACGCACTGGAGCAGCACATATGGTGGTGGTGGTGGGGGGTTAAACTTAGTTGGGACAAAAATACTTTGGTTTTTCAACAGCCTACATTTAGATCTCTCTCTTCCTGGAGGATGTACTGATTCACTTTCTTCTTGTCTGATTTAAGCATAAAAAGCTACATTCAAATAAGAACTGATTCCCTGGGTTAAAAAAAAAAAAAAACTTCACCGAACATCTCTGATTCAGAAAATGTAAGCTGCGGACGACACGATCTGCAGTAACTGACGCGTTGAGAGCGCTGGCCGAGTGGGCTCGGCTAACCCAGCGCTAGAGGCCGAGAGCCCGGTACCCTACATCCCCCGTCGTCCTCCACCCCGACTGCCGTCTCTAACTGCTGCCAGCACTCACCTTCCCAGGCCAAGGAGGGTACCGGCCGAGCTTCCCCCTAGAGAGAACAAACACACACACACACACACACAAAATGCAGAACTCGACCTGGAAAAGCCAGTCTGCCTCCCTCAACCCACTCGAGGCGCGGCTGGCACCCTCCGGCGCCGCAACAAAAGCCGCCCGCCGCGAGTTCTGGACGCCGAATGCAAACCCGCACAGCGCTGTGCGAGCTCCCGCTGACAACAAAGCCGCCCAGACCCGCTCGTGACCGGGACGGGGGGCGGTCTCCTCCGCGAACACAGACTTCCCCGCGCTGCGGCGGGCTGAAGTCACCAGGAGACCAAGCCCCGACTCTGACACACGGACCGGCCGCTCGGACGAGCGACGACGGCCGAGTCCGGGTTCGCGCGGGCCACGAGAGCCACCCAAGACGGCAGGGGCCCCGGCCACGCCGCCGCCGTCCAGGAGAAGCCCCCGCGCGGCTCCCTCAGCGGACAGCGCCGGCAGGTCGGGGTCGCCATCGCCTGCCGAGCCGCCCGCACAGGTCGGTTTCAGAGCAACGCGGATTTTGACGGACCAGCCCCGAGAGATGGCCCCCAGGACTCCCCAGCTCTCCCGCCTCCGCCAAGACCCTGGAACCCAGCGTCCTACGGCGGGCCGGGGGGCTCCCTACACCGGGGCTGCTGACGTCCCCCGCGGGGCGGCTTCGGGACTCGGAGCCGGGCCCTCCGCGGCCACCCTCGGCCTCGGTCCCCCGGGGCCAGACTGCCCCTTCCGCCCAGCGCCGCTCCAGGAGCCTCATCCTCCCCTCTGTCCGCGCCCTGGAGCGCACAGAAGGGCAGCTCCAGGTCCGGCCGCTAACTCCGCACCCAAGCAGGCAGCTCCCCGGCGCATCCCGCCCGGCTCCGGCCGCCCGCACTCACCACACCAAGTCGCCGAGCCGCAGACTCACAGTCGCCATCTTACCACCCAACCACCGCCGACGCACGGGCCGCCGGGAACATCAGGTCGGCCCGGCACCGCCCATTGGAGTGGACCCCACCACGTGACGGGGGCCTGCTGTCATCGGCCACGCCGCTGCTCTGACGTCACCGCGCCCGCCGGCGCTCATTGGCCCGGCGAGCAGCACGTGACTGGGCGCCACGATCTCCGCGCGCCGGAGCCCGGAGACTCCCGGCTCCTTCCCCCTCCCTCCGGCTCGTGACAACGAAGAACCCGCGGTCTGAGGTGGCGGCGGCGGCGACGGTGCGGCCGGCCAAGCGCGGGAGGGAGCCGGCCTGGCGGCCCGCCGCGCCCCCGGGTGCTGGACTCGGCCCTCCTGCTCCCTCGGTGCTTCCGTTACGGCCGTTAGTCCGGCTCGGGCCCCGGGGCCATTCCAGAGCCCGCGGCGCCGGCCGGCCCCGTCGCTGCTCCCGGGAGCTGCCTGACGGACTTCGGCGCGGCCTGGAAGCCAGCCTCCTCCCGAGCCCGGCGCCGCGCGCGCGGCGGGCTGCCCCCGGCCGCAGCCCGGGAGGCCGCGCTGTCTCGGCGTCGGCGCTCCCCGCGGCGGGGCGCGGCGCCGGGGCGAGCGCTCAGCCGCCCGGCTCCTCCAGCGCGCTCCTCTGGACGGCGGGCGGCGGGCGCGCGCCGCAAGTTGTCCCACGGTTGTTCTCAAGTTGCTTCGAGTTGGCATTTCTCCGCTTCCGCGCGGCGCGGGACCCCGCTATGGGCCGCGGGGCTGGCCGGCCGGCCGCCCGGAGGCAGGGCTCGGGAGCCGGCCGCTAGCTGCGCCGCCGCCCGGGGTCGGCGGGCCGGCATGAGGACCTCCGCGAGGGGACGTCTGCGGCCCGCGTCGGCGCTGGGGACTCAGGTGCGTACGGCGGCGGGGCCGGGCGGTCAGTCGGTCACTTCGTAAGAAGTTGCGGCGACCGGAAGACGGACGCGGAGCGCGGTGCGGACGCCGTGCAGCCGAGCCCTGTGCTGCGCGGTGTGTGCCGCCGCGGAGCTGGGCGCCACGCGCGACTTGGGGGCCCAGGCGGAGGCTCGGACTCTCCGAGGGGGTCCGGCGCCGGCAGTGGACTCGCAGCCGCGTTCGGCCGAGGCCGCGCCGCCGGGGCTCCCAGCGCACTGGCTTGTCTCGCATCCTGAATTTTCTTCGGAGACCGGTTTCCCTGAAAGGCCGTGGGTTAAGTTCAGGGACTGTCATTGCAGGGCGCTCGTGGCGAGTGTGTGTGCGCTTGCGCGCGCGCGCACGCGTTTGGACTGACCGGTCATTCTAAGCGGGAAATAGTACGCCGCAACACACGCCCATGATTCAAAACTAACTTGGAGGATATTTTAGCGGCTTGATAGAGGATATGAGTGCTTTAATCAACATTATACCGGGCTCGACGGGCATTCCCGGGGAAGTCGGCTACATGACAGTGTCTCCTGCCTGATTCTAGCCAATGCAATAAGACAGGAAACAAAAATGAGAAATGTGATTTTTCAGAAGAGGAAAGAGAATTTTCATTTCTGTGGGTAATGGGAGTGCATATTGTGGGGGGAAAAAAGGTTTTAAAATAAGAATCCAGTAAAGGGACTAATTACTAAACCAGCATACACACTCAACTTAGATTTTGTTTCACCAATAACCGGTTTGAAATACAATAGTTAAAAGGATGTATGAGTATTTACAATAACGGTATATATACTAATTGCTAGAAATAAGCTGAGATACAAAGGCTAGCATTTTTTGAGCTAATTTGGTTGAGGTGAGGTGTTTAAGAGCAGTGTGTGCAATACTGTGTTTAGAATACTGTTTAGTTCACTGAAGGCCAGTATTTAAAAACAGTTGTTTTTAAGCCTTTTCTTGTTTGTTTACTAACCTAAGGCTATGCAAGCAGAGATACTTGATCTTTGACAATGGTTGGATTAAGGCACCAGTTTAGCAGATTAGGTCCCCTTAAACAATTAACTGTGTTTACAAAGTTAAATTCCCTTAAGTATTTTAAACTGGATTTAAAGTTGTGCATCTTTGATTCTCTGGAGAACTTTAGACTTCTTAGGTGAATTTATTAACCTAATAGTAAAATCTTGCTAATGACTTAAGCAACTCTCGTAATTATAATAATTGTGTGAAGATGTTACATTTTTCTAAACATGGAAGCATTTTAGAACCTAATCACATTTTTTAAGCATTTTAAATCAAAATTGTAAGTCCAGTTTCATTCTTTTTCATTCTATAACACTGTGCATCGGATTCGCTTACATGTTTCAAAATCAGGTTATCACAGTGATTGTAAATTTAACCTAAAATCTAACCTGTAAGTGTTAATGTACTTCATCTAGTACCATTTCTGTATCTTCTCAGGCTTGCACAGCCACACCAGGAGGTGGGTGTGTGGTCCTGGCAAACCGAGACACAGCTGGGAGGGAAGCAGGCTCCACTCCCTGCCTTGAACCTGAGCAGAGACAGGTGCTAACTGTAGCCAAGCATAAAGGGAAAGCCCATTTAAAAAAAAAAAAAAAAGAGAGAGAGATGAGAAAAGTGCCTATCAAAGACCACACAGAAGATGTGGTTGGAGAAGGGCCTTCTAGCCATAGAGAATCGGGGGAGGCCTAAGGGGAGAAGCCTAACTGCAGTCTTTGATGCCAAATGAGAGATTTGGGGTGGTTTTCATGTTTGTGAAAACTTTAAGATGCATATTACTTAAGCAAAACAAAAAAGCATGGCAATTTTAAAAGTTCAACAATGGATTCTTGACAGTGAAGTTCTTTTCAACTTAAATCTGTATAATTGAATAAGAAAGTGATGAGTTTTGTCTCAAAAAAGTTGACCTGGTAACTCTTTTGAACATTAACAGAAACCATGCGGTGACACCTGCTGAGCCTTGGTGGTAGCCATGTCGGAGCCCCACAGGGTCCAGTTCAGCTCACTGCCAGGCTCTCTGAATCCTGCCTTTTTAAAGAAGTCCCGGAAAGAGGAGGCTGGAACAGAGCAGCACCAGGACCCCGAGCCTGCGGCAGCCGCTGTTCGGATTACACTCACCCTCTTTGAACCAGATCACAAACGATGCCCGGAGTTCTTCTACCCAGAGCTGGTGAAGAATAGCCGAGGGAAGGTGAAGGGTCTTCAGCCTGGAGACAAGGTACGTCCACCGTAACCCGGAGCCACACTGTAGGCCTGAGCATGGGTGTCAGCGTGGGCCATCTTCTACTGCTTTCTCAGGCCATAGTGGAGAGCTGGATCGGAAGAGGAGCAGCTGGGACTCAAACCAGTGCCCATATGGGATGTCAGCACTGCAGGCAGCGGCTTTACCTGCTACGCCACAGCACCGGCCCTTTATACACGTTTTTGTACTTTATGGGCTTAGATAGTAACAGTAGGAGCTGGATGAAGAGCGGTTTGAACCTCCTGTCTACTTTGCGGTAGGCTAGGTTCTGAAGAAAAGGTAAACGGGGCCCCACACTCCACATTCTGGTCTCCAGACTGGTGCTCAGTAAACTGGCTCATGCAGTGTCTGAGGGTAGCGTGAGGTCCTCTTGGTGGATACCTCAGTGCCCTGTGCCCCGTCAGTCCAGCTCACGTCTGTGCTGTTTAAGGGGAATTCGTTTGACTAGAAAGATTGCCCAGTTTTCTTTGCTCATATGAACATGTGTTTCCTCAACTGAGATCAAGGTTTGATTGCTTGATGGTAGCTAATGAGGCTGTACCAGAGGCCAACTTGTATATGAGGGCCAGTGTGCAGGGCAAGAGAAAATAATTTCAAATTCGTCCATAACCCTTTTGCTGAGGTAGGAGTGCTACCCTCTTTCCTGGAGACAAAGTGTCTGGCTAACCATCCTGGGACTCCTGATGCATGGAGCACACAGAGAGCTTTGCATCAGGTGTCAGGGGTTCACACCTGCATTTCAGGTTCAGAGCTCCTGAATGCTGTGGGTCTGCTACACAGTGATAAAAACAACATGATCTGAGATGTTTGGACATTGACTGACTTGACATGTGTTTCTTAGAGTGTGAGGGCACTGAACTGTGTAAGGTGGGGAACAGGCTACACCAGCCTCAGCTTTGCAATCTGGCACATGTTTTAGTAGAATTATACTAACACAAGTAACAGATGTTAGAATGTGATCATTGCTTCATTCTGGGACAGATACAGGCCACGGAGGGCTTGGGCAGAGGAGAGCCTGTGTCTTGGGTGCTTGGGCAGAGCCTGTCCTATGTTTGGACAGAGCTGGACTTTCCTCTGGTCAGGAAAGACTAGTTCTTGAAAGACTGCTGTTTGCAAGGCTCTAACACACACATGTTGATTCTAGTGCCACTCATATTTTTTTTTGTTTTTAGGATATATATTTATTTATTTGAAAGGCAGAGTTAGAATCTTCCATCTGCTAGTTCATTCCCCAAATGGCCTTAATGGCCAGGGCTGGGCCAGGCCGGAGCCAGGAGCTTCCTCTCCCTCTCCCACGTGTGTACAGGGGCCCAAGGACTTGGACCATCCTCTTCCGCCTTTCCGGGTGCACTAGCAGGGAGCCAGATCGGAAGCGGAGCAGCCGGGACTCAAACCAGCGCCCAAGTGGGATGCTGGTACCGCAGACAATATCTTAACCTGCTTTACCATAGCACCAGCCCTGCTGCTCATGATTTTTAAAAATGATTTTAACTGCTCTAGTTATATGTGATCAATGTACCAATACACAGGTATTTGAAAGATGACCCATTTGTGGTATGCACATCATGTGACTGTATATTTCTGTTTTGTCCCTTTAAAATGTGTATCCCTGTAACTGATCCTTTTTTTTTTGACAGGCAGAGTGCACAGTGAGAGAGAGAGAGAGAAAGGTCTTCCTTTGCCGTTGGTTCACCCTCCAATGACTGCCATGGCGGTGCGCTGCAGCCGGCGCACTGTGCTGATCGGATGGCAGGAGCCAGGTACTTATCCTGGTCTCCCATGGGGTGCAGGGCCCAAGCACTTGGGCCATCCTCCACTGCACTCCCGGGCCACAGCAGAGAGCTGGACTGGAAGAGGGGCAACCGGGACAGAATCCGGCGCCCCGACCGGGACTAGAACCCGGTGTGCCGGCGCCACAAGGTGGAGGATTAGCCTAGTGAGCCGCGGTGCCGGCCTCCTTTTCTTTTTAAAGATTTATTTATTTGAAAGAGTTACACAGAGAGAGGAGAGGCAGAGGCAGAGAGAGAGAGAGATATCTTCCATCCGATGGTTCATTCCCCAGTTGGCCGCAAAGGCTGGAGCTGCGCTGATCCAAAGCCAGGAGCCTCTTCCCAGTCTCCCACGTGGGTGCAGGGGCCCAAGGACTTGGGCCATCTTCTACTGCTTTCCCAGGCCATAACAGGGAGCTGGATCGAAAGTGGAGTAGTGCGGTCTCGAACCGGTGCCCATATGGGATGCCAGCGCTTCAGGCCAGGGAGTTAACCTTCTGCACCACAGCGCTGTGCCCCCGTAACTGATCCTTTATGAATGGGTGGGATTTCAGTAGGGAAGGTAGGATAAGAGTTTTGTTTTTCCAGTCTTTAGTGTTTTTGATCTACTCTGAAGTTTTTTTAAAATGCGTTTTCCGGCCGGCGCCGCGGCTCACTAGGCTAATCCTCCGCCTAGCGGCGCCGGCACACCGGGTTCTAGTCCCGGTCGGGGCGCCGGATTCTGTCCCGGTTGCCCCTCTTCCAGGCCAGCCCTCTGCTGTGGCCAGGGAGTGCAGTGGAGGATGGCCCAGGTGCTTGGGCCCTGCACCCCATGGGAGACCAGGAAAAGCACCTGGCTCCTGGCTCCTGCCATCGGATCGGTGCGGTGCGCCGGCCGCAGCGCGCCGGCCGCGGCGGCCATTGGAGGGTGAACCAACGGCAAAGGAAGACCTTTCTCTCTGTCTCTCTCTCTCACTGTCCACTCTGCCTGTCAAAAAAAAAAAAAAAAAAAAAAAAAAAGCGTTTTCCATAAACGTAAATTAAAAAAAAAATTTATTTGAAAGGCAGACAGAGGGGAAAAAAAGAGATACCTTCCATCTGCTGGTTCACCTCCAAATGCCCACAATAGCCAGGGTGGGCCAGGCCGGATCCAGAAGCTGGAGACCCCATCTGGGTCTCCCCATGTAAGTGGCAGGGGCGTGAGTACTTGAGATAGCCCTTGCTGCCTCCCAAGGTACACACAGGCAGGAAGCTGAATCAGAAGCAGAGCAGCTAGGACTTGAACCAAGTGTTCAAATATGGGAAGTGGGTGTCCCAAGCAGCCACTAAACTGCTGGGCCACATTCCTATTCCTATCCCTACTCTGCAGTCTTCAAGTGTACTAGTTTAGGAGTCTCATATTAAAACAGATTTCGTCTAGGAAGCTTAAGGCCCAGCTCGGCAGTGAGTGGATGAGAAAAATGCAAAAATAAGCCTGTGGAGTAGAATAAACTTTGGAAGACAACATGAAAATATTTGGAGTGGTTTTAAGATTGAGAGGACTGGGTCGGCGCTGTGGCACAGCTTGTTAAAGCCCTGGTCTGAAGCGCTGGCATCCCTCATGGGTGCCAGTTTGAGTCCCGGCTGCTCCACTTCCAGTCCAGCTCTCTGCTGTGGCCTGGGAAAGCAGTAGAAGATGGCCCAAGTCCTTGGGCCACTGTACCCGCATGGGAGACCCAGGAAGAAGCTCCTGGCTCCTGGCTTCGGATTGGCACAGCTCCAGCTGTTGTGGCCATCTGGGGAGTGAACCAGCGGATGGAAGACCTCTCTGTCTTTACCTCTCTTCGTAAAATAAATTCAAATAAATAAATAAATCTTTAAAAAAAATTGAGAGGACAAGAGATAAAAGACCTTTGACAATGGGCTTTCAGGGGCTGAAATGTGTGAAACTGCCACCCGTGACACCAGCATCCCCTATGGGCACTGTTCATATCCTGGCTGCTCTGCTTCTGATCCAGCTCCCTGCTAATGTGCCTGGGAAAGCAGCAGAAGATGGTCCAAGTTACTGGGCCCCTGCACCCACATGGAAGACATGGATGGAGTTTCAGGCTCCTTGCTTTGTCTTGGTCCAGTGCCAGTCATAGTAGCCACTGGGAAGTGAACCAGTGGATGGAAGATCTCTCTGTTTTTTTTTCTTTTTTTTTCTTTTTCTTTTTTTTTTTTTTTTGACAGAGTGGACAGTGAGAGAGAGAGACAGAGAGAAAGGTCCTCCCCTGCCGTTGGTTCACCCTCCAATGGCCGCCGCGGCCAGCGCGCTGCGGCCACCGCGCTGCGGCCAGCGCACCGCGCCGATCCGATGGCAGGAGCCAGGAGCCAGGTGCTTTTCCTGGTCTCCCATGGGGTGCAGGGCCCAAGCACCTGGGCCATCCTCCACTGCACTCCCTGGCCACAGCAGAGGGCCGGCCTGGAAGAGGGGCAACCGGGACAGAATCCGGCGCCCCGACCGGGACCAGAACCCGGTGTGCCGGCGCCACTAGGCGGAGGATTAGCCTAGTGAGCCGTGGCGCCGGCCTGTTTTTTTTCTCTCTCTGTCTTTCTCTTTCTCTCTGTCTTTTGATTGAATAAATAAATCTTTGTGGGGGTGGAAGGAAGATGGACTTCGAGAGGTAGAAAATGCTGTGAACCTGGATTTGAAGTTGGTCAGACTGAGAAGCACAAACTCCACAGTTTCTCTATAAACAGCAAAGCAGAGCAACTCAAAAACGAGTACTACATTCACTGACTTCTTAACCTTTTTGATCCGTTGACTGTTTTGAAAGTCTGGTGAAGCCTTTGCATCCCTTCTTAGGATGTTTTTAAGTACATAAAATAAATGTTAGAGCTACAGAGGAACTTAATGATATGGAACACAGTTCTGTGGCGATTGAGCATAGCCTGTGTAGCCCCTAGCACTGTGGGGGCTGTCTGTGGGCGTTTCATTAAGTGTTTTTTTTTTTTTTTTTTTTGACAGGCAGAGTGCACAGTGAGAGAGAGAGACAGAGAGAAAGGTCTTCCTTTGCCGTTGGTTCACCCTCCAATGGCCGCTGCGGCCAGCGCGCTGCTGCCGGCACACCGCGCTGATCCGATGGCAGGAGCCAGGTGCTTCTCCTGGTCTCCCATGGGGTGCAGGGCCCAAGCACTTGGGCCATCCTCCACTGCACTCCCGGGCCACAGCAGAGAGCTGGCCTGGAAGAGGGGCAACCAGGACTAGAACCTGGTGTGCCAGCACCGCAGGCAGAGGATTAGCCTATTGAGCTGCAGCACCGGCCTCATCTTTAATTTCTAGCCATTCTATGAATAGAATTGTGGGAATTTTTTGTGACTCATCTTTTTGTGGAATAATCTCTTTACAGAAGAAAGATCTTTCAGATCCTTTCAATGATGAAGAAAAGGAAAGGCACAAAGTGGAAGCCCTTGCCCGGAAATTTGAAGAAAAATATGTAAGATTTTTCTCTTGAGCAACAAAACAACTTCATTGAGTAGACGAGGTTTCTAGATATTTCCGTATTTCTTTGGTGGATCATCATGTGATCACTGACCTGGAAACGAGTATAGAGCTTGGGCTGAGCAGAATGCAGTTACTGAACAAATATGTTAAGGTACAGAAATGCATGTGGCGGGAGCAAGTGTGGTGCTCGGTGGGTGAGTGAAAGAGAGGGGCCTGCTGCCTGCCTTAGAGGGAATGTTGGGTGTGAAGCATGAGCCTATAGCTCATTCTTGTCTTAGGCCATTTTATGCAGCTATAAATATGTCCAGTTTTGGAGTTTTGTTTTTATTTGAAAGGTAGAACTACAGAGGGAGGGGGAGGGGGAGAGATAAATGCTCACAGCAGCCAAGCCTGGGCCAGGCCAGAGCTAGGATCCAGGAACTCAATCTGGGTCTCCCGCATGGGTGGCAGGGACCCAGCTGCTTAAACTACCATCTGCTGCCTCCCAGGGTGCATTAGCAGGAAGCTGGGTCAGAAACAGGGGCGGGGCCTGATCCCAGCCTCTGATATGGGATGCAGGTAGCTTAACCCATGGTGCTGCAATGCCTGCCCATGTCCCATTTTAAAAGATCTTCAGGGAAGAAGGTTTTGGGGCTCATGTGAGGGGTTGTTCTGGTGCTTTAACCTTTAATCCAGCTGAAGTTCAAGGCAACAATTCTGTGTGTGTATCCTTTTGCTTTTAAATTTTAGGGTGGAAAGAAACGTAGAAAAGACCGAATACAGGACTTGATTGATATGGGGTATGGTTATGATGAATCCGATTCCTTCATCGATAACTCTGAGGCGGTAAGTAGTTCATGAAATGCGGTATCAGCACCACCATACCTTAACCTGCTGGTGGCAGCCAGGAAGTTGGGGCAGTCAGAGCAGGTGTGCTCTCTTCTTAGCACGAGGCAGAAGCAGCTCTGATGAACAGAGGAAGCACCTCTTTGATCCTGGCCTTAGTTCCTTCATCTGAAAATGGCTAGATCCACCCAAACACCTTGTAGCTCAGACGTTCATGACTGACCAGAAGAGTATCTTAGTACACTGTCTGAAGTGTGACAGAGAAACACGATCACATATCTCTCAGTACCCGCTTTGCACCTTTGGGCTAGAACCAGAACAGAACTTGGAGCTGACAGTTTGTTTCCCCCCTTCAGTATGATGAGCTTGTTCCTGCTTCTTTGACCACAAAGTATGGAGGATTTTACATTAACTCGGGAACCCTGCAGTTTAGACAAGCATCAGAATCTGAGGATGACTTCATTAAAGAAAAGAAGAAAAAATCTCCAAAGGTTAGAGCCTGCTTGCTTTTGGATTTCAGAAATGCTTTTTGACATGATCCTATAAGATCAGTAGCTAACTGACCAGAATATGCACTGGTTTAGGATGGCGCAGGAGGCTGGTGGAAAGGCAGAGCTGTGCCCAGGTAAAGTGTCCATGGGGGCTCTCCAGCTCACGGTCGTCATGTCCATATCTGGGACATCTCAGCAAGCTCAGCACAGTCGTTTCTGGAGGTGTTCTCAGGGCGGGCCAGTAGCAGTGAGGGTGTGGAGTGAGGAAGTGTGCACCACCCCCGCTGACCCTCTTCTGTGGACATGTAGAGGACTTCAGTTCCCAGGGCTGTCACCCACCGAAAACAAATCAGCCTTAAGATGAGCATAACATATTTAAAAAAAAAAATTTTTTTTTTTTTTTATTCAAAAGGCAGAGCGTGAGAGAGATCAGTCTTTATTCTCTGATTCGTTTCCCAAATGCCTATAACAGCAGGGTTTGGCCGGGCCAAAGCCAGGAGCCTGGAACTCTGTCTGGGTCTGCCATGTGGGTGGCAGGGCCCCAAGCACTTGAGCCACCATCTGCTGCCTCCCAGGATGCATTAGCAGGAAACTGGATCAGAAGTGGAGGAGGCAGGACTCAAACCAGCACTCTGATACGAGATAAGGGTGTCTCAAGTGGCGGCTTAACCTGCTGTGCTATGACACCCACCTCAAGATGAGAATCTTAAAATGTCTTCTACTTCCTGTGTTTTTAAAGTAAGATGGAGGGCCTACCTCTAAGTCATTCGGACCAGAAAGCTTTCAGGCTCCACAAGGGCCACCATCGTCTCTGCCCCGGGTGTTTCCAGGAGACACTGTCAGCGGGAAGGCTGTGGGTTTGTGGTCCAGGGACTGATCTGCTAGCTTCTGTTCACAAAGCCGATGAGACAGGTCCCAGGATGTGCCCCGGGCGGAGCAAGGCCAGTGCTGTGTAGTGCACTTGCTCCCTGAGTTAGGGAGCCGTGTAACTGTGCCTTGTCTTTAATTCTCAGAAGCGGAAGTTGAAGGAAGGTGGTGAGAAGATAAAGAAGAAGAAAAAAGATGACACTTATGACAAGGAGAAGAAATCGAAAAAGTCCAAGTTTTCCAAAGCCGGGTGAGAGGCAGCAGCTTCTTTGCTAGGATGGAGTCTGACCTGTAGGGCAGGACACCTGGGAGCTGACTCACCCTCCCCACAGCTTGAGAAGAGGTAGCAGGGCTGGCCTCCCACAGTGCCTTGCTGGGCACAGTCAGACGCTCACATCTCTGTGTCAGATAGCCGGAGTTTCTGTTCCACTGTCAGTGTTGGCAGCTGCTCTGTCACTGTGTGATTGCTGACGTTCCTTGCTCTGAGTGTTCCCCTCTGCGCCCCAGTTCTTCTGTCTCAGCTGTTTTCCCGTGTCTTCTGTGGTCCTGCTTCCTTCTCTCCACTCAGTCTCACCCCAGCTGCCTTCAAGCTGCTGCTGTTCTCTGCTGCTCCTGCTTTCTCCCTTTAAATGCTTTTCCCGCCCCTTCCCTTTGTGCGGTCTTTCATTTCAGCCTGGCAGTGGTTCTTACCCAGCGGATATCTAGCATATTCTGCGACCCTGTGGTGCTAACCTGCCTTACCTCTCAAGCTTTGGTCTCGGCCAGAACGAGCTCCATATGCCAAGAGGAGGGAGGAATAAAACAGGGTGACTGTGACTGAGGTTCTCCTGGAGACCATTGCCCTGGGAGCAGGGGTGAAGGCCTCTGGAGTCCCCTGAGGGGGTGTCCTGCAGCCCAGGTAACCAGCGTCCCCCCTCTTGCCTGCAGCTTCACAGCCCTCAATGCCAGTAAGGAGAAAAAGAAGAAGAAGTACTCTGGGGCTCTGAGTGTTAAGGAGATGCTAAAGAAGTTTCAGAAGGAGAAGGAGGCTCAGAAAAAGAGGGAGGAAGAGCATAAGCCTGCAGCCGTCTCCTCAGCGGACGCCCAGGGCCTGCGGGAACTGGAGGGCGCCTCGGACCCCTTGCTCTCGCTCTTTGGCTCAACTTCTGACAACGACTTGCTTCAGGCGGCCACTGCCATGGACTCGCTGACTGATCTGGACTTGGAGCAGCTGCTCAGTGAGTCTCCGGAAGGAAGCCCCTTCCGCGATATGGATGATGGGAGTGACTCCCTCGGGGCGGGACTGGACCAGGAGTTCAGGCAGCCCTCCCCCCTCCCTGAAGGCTTGCCGGCACCTCTGGAGAAGCGCGTCAAGGAGCTGGCCCAGGTACGGGGACGTGGTACGGCGGGGCTGTCCTGGAAGTGTTTGAGGTGGACTGCTGTTGGTTCCGCACCACCGACGTGAGACCGGATGCAGAGACCCTTAGTGAGCTGGCGGTTGAGGTGCAGGCTCTTTTCAGGCTTTCCTCTCGAGCTGAGTGGGGAAACGGTGAGAGTTTGTCCCTCACGGATCGTTTTTAGGCTTTTCTTGATTCTTTTACTGTGGAAACTTTGCTTTCTTCTGGGGAGATTTTACTCTCTTTCCATTTCCTGTCAGCTTTTCGCCCCACACAGCGTCTTTCCTGTTGTGTGCAGAGTGACACTGATGTTGGCAGCAGGCAGTTGAATCAGAGATTCAGCCTAGTTTTGAAGGTTTGGAAGATTCACAAAAGTTGGCAAACATGTACATTACACATAGGTTGTATGCTTTGTTTCCGTGGGTTTTGGTTGCACCCTTGTGTTAAGTATCATCTGTGTTAAGTAGTGTTGTAGGAATGCCTAGATTGTGGTCCTTTGGAAGAAGCTTAACTTGATATGCCATCCATGTCCCATGACAAAGAATAGCAGTGACCTTCACAGTGCAGCAGCAGGGCCTCCGCCGACGGTCGGGCGTCGATCTCTGAGCACCATGAGCTTTCAGTTCGGTAATATGTCACATGCTGTGCACCAGCCATGGCTCGATAGTTACGACAACACTGGATTTTTGGTCAAAGTAACTTTGTACTTTAGCCATCGTGACTGGTAGTGCAGTTCAGTGACGTTTACACTTTAAGTCTTAGTTCAGTGAATCTCATGTGTTGCAGAATTCCTGTTACGTGTTACAGGGCAGGTTAAAATAGCAACCACAGCTACAGATTTTCTCACTTGCAAAAAATATTTGAAGATACTATGAGACAGAGAAAACATCTATTTAGATGTAGTTTGTCCTTGCTAGCTGTGTGCAGTGATAGACATATGTATTCTGTCTGAGTGTAATGGTTTAAGTGACTGCAGTATGTCAGTGATTCAGAGCCTGTTTAATATGCGTGGTGGTGGACAGAGGTGAGGCAGAACTTGGCTTGTTTGAGCATGCTGTCCTCAGAATTGATGTAAAAAAATGACTCCTTGTTCCTTTCAGTCCTCTAGTTTGTAATCACATTGTTTGGTAGCTTCTGAAAGTCTTGTTGGTGAGTTAGGGTGGGTCTCTGTGTCTTCTTGGATGTGTCCCCATTCCCACCATAGACTACGTTCTGGTATGACGACTTACATTCATTTGTTGGGAAAGGTGGGGACGACTTTCATGGGAATGAAGTGACATTGACTGAATCAATGTTGGGCTGTGGTCCAACCTCACAGGAAGGACTCCCTATTTGGCCAACTGTCCACCTCGGGCTTATACTAGGGCATGACACAGAGGGGTCCCAGATCCTGTCCCAGACAGGCCCGTGTCCTGGTGAGGAGTTGGTAACCAGGAGAGGGCGGGCTTCTAGATTAAAAATAGTGTTCACGGGTGAAGTTGATGTTTATCCAACAGCACTGAGATATTTTGGAAAACAGAGTGGAGAGCGTGTGGGAATTAGCCACATCCCGCCAGTCTGAAAATGATTTCTGTTTGCATTTACCAGTCTAGGCTTTGTGTGTATTTTTTTTTAAGATGTATTTATTTATTTGAAAGTCAGAGTTATGCAGAAAAGGAAAGAGAGGCAGAGAGAGAGAGAGAGGTCTTCCATCTGCTGGTTCACTCCCCAGTTGGCTGCAACGGCCAGAGCTATGCTGATCTGAAGCCAGGAGCCAGGAGCTTCTTCCGGGTCTCCCATGTGGGTACAGGGGCCCAAGGACTTAGGTCATCTTCTAATGCTTTCCTGGGCCATAGCAGAGAGCTGGATGGAAAGTGGAGCAGCTGGGACTCGAAACGGTGCCCATATGGAACACGGGCACTGCAGGCAGTGGCTTTACCCGCTACGCCACAGCACTGGCCCCTGTGTGTATGTTTTAATGCCATTGTAATTACAGTTGAGAATAATTGTATACTGCTATTTTTACTTAAAATTATTTTTTCAAAAGATTATTTATTTGAGAGATAGAACCACAGAGAGAGGGAGAAAAAGAGAGAAAGTTCTTCATCTGCGGATTTACTCCTCAAATGGCTGCAACGGCTGGAACTGGGTCAAACCGAAGCCAGGAGCCTCTTCTGGGTCTCCCTCGTGGGCTCAGGGGTCCAAGCACTGGGGCCATCTTCCACTGCCTTCCCAGGCTACAGCAGAGAGCTGGATCAGAAGAAGAGCAGCAGGACACAAACCGGTGCCCATATGGGATGCCGGTGCCGCAGGCAGAGGCCTAGCCCGTCATGCCACAGCACTGGCCTCTTAATAAATATTATTTTAAAGTCCCCATTACTTTTATGGTTGCATTAAGGAGAAGGCGGGTTTTGAAAAGCCACTGCTGCCTTTCCACAGGATTCCTGAGAGCTCCTTCCTGCCCAGAGGCCTGCCCTGTATGGGTGTATGAGTGCCCTGGGGCCTGCCCTGTATGGGTGTATGAGTGCCCTGGGGCCTGCCCTGTATGGGTGTATGAGTGCCCTGGGGCCTGCCCTGTATGGGTGTATGAGTGCCCTGGGGCGCTGGGCCCCTGTATGGGTGTATGAGTGCCCTGGGGCGCTGGGCCCCTGTATGGGTGTATGAGTGCCCTGGGGCGCTGGGCCCCTGTATGGGTGTATGAGTGCCCTGGGGCGCTGGGCCCCTGTATGGGTGTATGAGTGCCCTGGGGCGCTGGGCCCCTGTATGGGTGTATGAGTGCTCTGGAGCTCCAGACATGCTGGGAGAGACAGCCTTCTCAGGGAAGGAGTGCCTTTGTGCACAAAAATTGCATATAATTCTAGGAGCCAAACCTGAATATTTGAACACTTAATAAGGATAAGGAGCCCTCTCCTGATATTGAAATGGACATTGCCTTTTTTTTTTTAATGTTTATTTATTTGAAAGTCAGAGTTACAGTGAGAGAGAGAGAGAAAGAGAAAGACAGGGATCTTCCATCTGCTGGTTCCCTCCCCTAATGGCCACAACAGCTGAGAGTGGGCCAGGCTGAAGCCTAGAGCCTGGAGCTTCTTCTGGGTCTCCCACATGGGTGCAGGGGCCCAAGGAATTGGGCCATTCTCCACTGCTTTCCTAGGCACATTAGCAGGAAGCTGGATTGGAAGTGGAGCAACTGGGACTAGAACTGGCGCCTGTATGGGATGCCGGCACTGCAGGTGGTTGCGTAACCTACTACACCAAAGTGCAATCCCCTGGACCTTGCATTTAGAATTTAAATTAAACTTCATGCATGTAACTGTAACATTAGCAATGTTATGTGTTTCATACTTTATTTTTCACTCCCCTCCTTTCTCCTTTTCCCATGTCCTTTATTTTTATAACATTGATCACTTTTTTTTAAGATTTATTCATTTATTTGAAGGTCAGATTTACATAGAGAAGGAGAGGCAGAGAGAGAGAGAAAGGTCTTCCATTCTCTGATTCACTCCCCAATTGGCTACAATGGCCAGAGCTGTGCCGATCTGAAGCCAGGAGCCAGGAGCTTCTTTTGGGTCTTCCACGTGTGTGCAGGGGCCCAAGGACTTGGGCCATCTTCTACTGCCTTCTCAGGCGATAGCAGAGAGCTGGATAGGAATGAGAGTAGCCAGGACTTGAACCAGTGCCTATATGGGATGTGGGCACTGCAGGCAGCGTGTTAACCCGCTGGGCCACAGCGCCGGTCCCATCACATTTTAAATCTTTTAATCTTTTTTTTTTTTTTTTTAACATTTATTTATTTATTTGAAAGTCAGAGTTGCACAGAGGAGAGGCAGAGGCAGAGGCAGAGAGAGAGGTCTTCCATCCACTGGTTTACTCCCCAATTGGCCACAATGGCCAAAGCTGCGCTGACCCGAACGCAGGAGCCAGGAGCTTCTTCCGGGTCTCCTATGTGAGTGCATGGGCCCAAGGACTTGGGCCATCTTCTATTGCTTTCCCAGGCCGTAGCAGAGAGCTGGATCGGAAGTGGAGCAGCCGGGTCTCGAACTGGCGTCCACATGGGATGCCGGCACTGCAGGCCAGGGCATTAACCCGCTGTGCCACAGCACCGGCCCCCACATTTTAAATCTTAATTCTGGCTGGCGCCGCGGCTCACTAGGCTAATCCTCCGCCTTGCGGCGCCGGCACACCGGGTTCTAGTCCCGGTCGGGGCGCCGGATTCTGTCCCGGTTGCCCCTCTTCCAGGCCAGCTCTCTGCTGTGGCCCGGGAGTGCAGTGGAGGATGGCCCAGGTGTTTGGGCCCTGCACCCCATGGGAGACCAGGAAAAGCACCTGGCTCCTGGCTCCTGCCATCGGATCAGCGCGGTGCGCCGGCCGCAGCACGCCGGCCGCGGCGGCCATTGGAGGGTGAACCAACGGCAAAGGAAGACCTTTCTCTCTGTCTCTCTCTCTCACTGTCCACTCTGCCTGTTAAAAAATTAAAAAAAAAATTAAAAAAAAATTAAATCTTAATTCTACAAGATACATATGTTAAGATCTTAAAATGCTTTTTGTTTTGTTTTGTTACTTGAAGGACAGAGAGCTCCCATCTTCCTGTTTACTCCTTAGATAGATACAGTGGCAAGGGCTGGGCTTGTTGAAGATAGGAACTAGTAACTCAGTCCAGGTCGTCCACACTGGTAATAGGACGTGGGCCATCTACACTGCTCCCAAAGTGTACATTAGCAGGAAACTGGAGTCGGGATCTAGAGTTGGAATTGTATCATTTTCTATTGCTGTCTAAAACCACACTGAAGGAAGTTTTGGCTTAGTGCTTGATTCGCCTCTCCTGATGGTGGATTAGCTGGGCGCTTACACTTTGAACCTGCCAGAGCACACGCTCAGTGGGTGAGTTGGCCAGGGTGGCCAGGCTGCGCTCTCCCTGGGTCTCTCATCCTGGGCTTCTTCAGGGGCTGCTGATCTTAGGGCAGTGTTTGCAGTACGTGCAGGTGGAAGCTGCTGGGCCCTCGAGTTGTGGCTTAAAGGTTATGTGTGTCATGTTGCTTCCACCTTACTAGTGGTCATGGCCAAATGGTAGCCAGACTCTAGTGTGGGGGCAGAGCTAGAGGACATTCTCTGGCAGAGAGGTAGAATCTTTTACCATGGCAGGAACCTGTGGTCCACCAAGATGTGATGCAGCTTCTGATGCAATGTGTGTCAATTCCTTAGGGAAAAACACTTTGTGGGAAACAAATCAGATTTATCTTTGAGCATGATGTGATATTCAAAATCTTAAAAAAAAAGTCTTGGTGAACTTATGTGTATTAAAGAGATACTGCAAGATGGGTGTCTTGATAGACGCCCATGCTATGTTTACGGTTTTCTAGTTTAGCCCATTTTCATTGCCTACTCATTTGTTCGTGGGCCTCCAGGGAGTCTGGTGATTTGATGGCCTTTTTCTGTTTCCTGTTGATGTGCACTGATGGTGTCTTTACAGGTTGTGGTTGTTGGAACATACCGCTGCCGAGAAAGTCAGGTTTGATGTCTCTTCAGGTTACTTTCTTGATGTAGCCTGCCCAAAGAGATGACCCAGCACTGCTCTGGTCCTCTCCCATCCAGCATAAAATAGGAACAGTGCTAAAGAAACAGAGATTCCCATATCACCCACTCTTTACTGTACTCTTTTGTAGGGTTAGAACTAACCCGTGTCACCAGAAACCAGGGGAGGTAGATCTAAACAAAGTAAGGTAGAACAAAAGCCATCTTTTTAAAAATAGTCTTTGTAAAAAAGATCTTTAAAAAAGCATCTTTTTAAAAATAAAAAATCATTCCAGGTTTCCTACTATTCAGCAAAAACAGGTACAGTATATATGATTTTAAGCTAGGTACCAAAAGGCTACAGTGACTTTTCTTATAATAAATAAAATGGTTAATTAGGGTATTGGAATTCTTGTAAATCAGCATGATCGGGGTGTTTGATTTAACTTCATTTCCTAGTTAATTTAGATTGATTAATTTATACAACTCCTGGGGCAAGAATGTCTTGTCTTAAGGGTGAGGGACTTATTTCTGGAAGACTTATCAGATACATCTGCAATTGCTCTTTTAATTAGATTTGCTTAAAAATGCAGCACTTGACTAATTATCTTTTGTATAAAGCCAGACCCTCAGAGATAGTGTCTGTGCAGTTCAGACGGCTTCAGAAAATGGTTTTGAAGATTATAAAGGCTGAAAGCTTCTGAAGTGTTAGAGAAATGGCTGATATCTAGAAGTACAGTTTAATTGGAAGTTCAGCTGTTGATGTCTGACGAATAGTGGGGCGTTTGCACTGCATGTTCGAGATAATGAGGTTGAATTAACGTGTGGTGCTTTAGGATCCTTTCACTAGCTGTGCGAGCCTAAGCGAAAGAATGGCAGTTTTATTTTCTCTCAAAATTCCAGTAACTGCTGGGACAGAATTCTGAATTCTCCTGAAAGCATAAGAAAGTCTTGTGTGTAGGTTAAAAGTGACGCCTTCTCTTGTTTCTACTGCCCGTCTGCCTGTGTCAGAGTCGTCATCCAAGGCGTCTGGCTGCCCTCTGACCAGGGGACCATCGGAAGCTTGAGTTGGTATCATCTCAAGGTTACTTCTGGTTGTTCAGCATGAAGCTTTGTGTCCCCCACTTGGTCTTAGAGTTGCGCCTGTTCCTTTTTCATGTGTCCGTTCACTCAGCTGACATTACTAGGTACCTGTGATGTTATTGGCGGCTGTGGGAAACATACTGGTGACTAAGTTTGCTTCTTGTCTACCATGATCTTGCTGTGTAAATGGCAATGGACCCAACCATAGGACGGAGTAGTGTGAAATAAACTCTTTGATGTTTGGACAGATAATTGGTGGACAGCCAGACTTCAGGAAGTCAAAGCTGGTGGGGGAGAGGTTACGAGAACGAGCGTGGCTAACCTTGTAGTGTGGTACACAGAGCTGAGGCTGAGTGGCTGTATGGTGGGATTCCCCCAGAATGTGATAGGAGATGGAAGCTGAGTGGATGGCCATGCCCAGATCCTGGAGAATCCTGACTGCCATGTGGGTTTGATTCTAGGCTGGGAAAGAGCCATTGAAGGGCTCTAAGGTGGGAATGGGAAATTTGAGAAGTTGGGAATATGGTTATTAGAAGAAGAGACTCGAGGAGGACAAGCAGGAGGTGTGGTTCTGGTTCAGGGGTGGTGGAGTGTGCTTTCCAAGGGTCAGATGTGCACAGAAGTAATTGGAAATGACTTTGAGCTCCCTGGGAAAGGGTTGATTTTCATGTGAGGAGCCTCCATGAGTGTGTGCTACTTTGAAACTATCGGAAAGGAAGAAGTTATTGGGAAAAGTGGATTCTGGAGAGAACCCTGGGAGTCTTCCAGTAAGGAAGCTAGTGGTGAAGACAGAGCAGCTGGTGGCCGGCACCGTGGCTCACTAGGCTAATCCTCCAGCTGCAGCGCCGGTACCCCGGGTTCTAGTCCCGGTTGCTCCTCTTCCAGTCCAGCTCTCTCAAGTGCTTGGGCCCTGCACCCACATGGGAGACCAGGAGGAAGCACCTGGCTCCTGGCTTCGGATTGGCACAGCACTCCAGCTGCAGTGCGCCAGCCGTAGCGGCCATTTGAGGGATGAACCAGTGGAAGACCTTTCTCTCTCCCTCTGTCTCTCTCTCACTGCCTGTCAAAAAAAAAAAAAAAAAAAGGCAGCTGGCGAGGCTTGAAGGGACCCGGGAGATGTGACGACAGGAAGGTGGTGGGTGGTGGCGGGGCGAGCTGTGTCTGCGCTTCCAGAGGGGTGGATCAGGATCGATCTCTCTCTCCTTCAGTCACCTTGTTGTCCTTGTTTGACATCATCACTGTGTCTGATTCAGACATTTTGCAGAAAGCCTTCAGAGCAATGGTTGTCTACCGTCTGCCCATTCAAGTCCCCAGGGTCACTTCAAGAGTACACATTCCTGCGTCTTGTTCCCAGAGCTTGGGAAAGGATCACTCTGGAGTGGGGCTGTCCCCTGTGCAGCCAGATCTGAGAGCCCTGGGTGCAGCTTCCAGGGTTTGCCTTCCTGACCGTGCTCTTAGTGTGTTGGCTGCCTGCTGTGGTTGCTTCAGGAGTCTGCAGGGTTGCTCTCCAGGGTGTGAACTGGGTTCTCGTGGGAAGCAAAAGACAGAATGGGTAAATCCTGTAATCTTGGGTTAATGAACAGTACCGTCTGTTATTCATCCTAATGGATTGGGTGACAGAACATTTGTGATATCCTGTATGTAGATCATGAATTTTCAAAGAGTTACAATTCCTTCATATGCTTAAACTACTCTTTTATTTTGATGAATAAGAGACCTTTAAATTTTGCAGGTTTTTTAAAAAATATTTATCTTTTATTTATTTGAAAGGCATAGTTACAGAGAGGTAGAGGCAGAGAGAGAGAGAGAGAGAGGTCTTCCATCTGCTAGTTCACTCCCCAAATGGCCACAACATCAGGAGCTGGGCCTGTCCGAAGCCAGGAGTTTCTTCTGGGTCTCCCACGAGGGTGCAGGGGCCCAAGGACTTGGCTGTCTTCTGTTGCTTTTCCAGGCCACAGCAGAGAGCTGGATTGGAAGTGGAGCTGCCAGGACTCGAACTGACACCCAGATGGGATGCCGGCACTGCAGGTGGTGGTGGCTTTACGCACTGTGCCACAGTGCTGGACCCAGGGTTTTGAGGTTCTTAGTTGCATTTCTGCTGTAGATGTTTAGAAATACAATGTCTGTCCCAGAGTAGTTTATGATAGAGGCTGGACAAGAAAGGTTGAGAGCTGGCTCAACTGGCCTCTGACCAAATGTATTGTTATTTCTTCAGGCATGTGCGATTTTCTTATATGACTGTTGCTTTAAGTCCTGGGAAGAACAGGTAGTGTAGACATGCTGCGGTAGCATTGAAAAGCGTATTGATCACAGGTGAAGTTGATTTTGGGGTTAGGGCAGGGTTGGGAAGGTGCTGGTGAGTGACTGTGCTTGCGGGGGCGCATGCACTAACAGCTGTTCCTGTCTGCTGTGAACCAGGCTGCCAGAGCTGCTGATGGAGAGAGCAGACAGAAGTTCTTCACCCAGGAGATCAATGGCATCCTGCTGGAGTGAGTATCTTTTGTTTGTTTGTTTGAATTGCTGTTCCAGGCCTGCGCAGGCCCTGAGAGAGGACGTGCTGCTGAACTCCGTAAAGGTGGCCACTAATAAGAGAGGAGACTATCTGGATTTTACCATTTCTGCTATGGTTGTATTACAAAAACCAAATGGATGCACTAAATTCTTGTTTTCAACCTCATGAATGTCAGGCAGCAGACTTATTGGGACACTGTATCTAACAGTCAGACTTGTTGTAAGAGGACTTTCTGGCAAGAGGAGATGAGGAGAGAGAGCAGGTGTTGCCTCCCTAAGAAGCTAGAAGAATGAGTGACAGCGAGGTGGCTTGGGCGTGCTCCACATTAGGGACTAATCGTCGTCTTGCTCTCACTTCTCCCAGTGCTTGTGTACATTATCCTGGACAGGATTCTCCCAGATCCAAGGCACTGCACAGTGTGAATTGGGTTAAGAAGCAAAAAACTCAGCACAAAAATTTAAGCCAGAAACGTGTGTCTGGCCTCGAGCTGCACAGCTGCTCCCTGGTTACTGTACGTAGCAGGGGAGCTGGCTGCTCAGCACAGGATTGTGCATGTGTAAGAACGGTTGTCAGGACCTGGGAATGTTCTAGCATATCTAGCAAATGCCCTTGCCTGGCCACATCTGGGTTGACCACTTGGGTCGGGAAACACGGGCTGCAGACAGCGCCCAGGGGTCACTGTGGAGAAGAGATTTGTGTCCGTAAGGAACCCACTTGAGTGTGTCATATGCGGAGAGCTCAAAACATTGAAAAGGAACGTTCTTCTGGTTATTTAGATGGGGAAACTGGAGGAGTGAGGATTTCCCTGACCTCATAACCACAGGTAGAACTGGGAACTGAAAACAACACTTATAGAAAGTATTTCCTCTCAACCCAAGCAACTTGTTACTTTCCATTTTGAAATTTTTTGTGCTTACTTTGTTTATGAAATTTGGCCCTTTGGGCTCTGTTTTCCTGTCTTTGGCCTGAGAGCCTGAACTTCCCATGCTTGCCCACATTCACGGGGTTTGGGAGTTGCTCTCATTGTGTGATGTCTGAAGATCATCAGCCTTGTCTTAGGCTGTGTAGCCTACAAGATCAGGCTTGAGCTGCTTCGAGTCTTAGCTTTTTTTTTTTTTTTTTTTTTGGACAGGCAGAGTTAGTGAGAGAGAGAGACAGAGAGAAAGGTCTTCCATTCTGTTGGTTCACCCCCCAAATGGCCGCTACGGCCAGCGCGCTGCAGCTGGAGTGCTGCGCTGATCCGAAGCCAGGAGCCAGGTGCTTCTCCTGGTCTCCCATGCGGGTGTAGGGCCCAAGCACTTGGGCCATCCTCCACTGCCTTCCCAGGCCACAGCAGAGAGCTGGCCTGGAAGAGGAGCAACCGGGACTAGAACCCGGGGTACTGGCGCTGCAGGTGGAGGATTAGCCACGACGCCGGCCAGAGTCTTAGCTTTATACTCCATGTAGAGTGACCTCTTGAAGAGAGAGGCCTCCACGAACTGCCCACCGTTGACGGCTCTCTTCTGTTCTTCAGTATAGAGGTACAGGTGCGTGAGCTGAGTAGCCAGGTCCGTTCTGGGGTGTACGCCTATCTCGCCTCATTCCTGCCCTGCAGTAAGGATGCTTTGGTCAAGCGTGCTCGGAAACTTCACCTCTACGAGCAGGTGGGTGGCTGTGGCGTGCAGCTCTGGCTTTGGAGCCCAGATGAGACTCCATGGGTGGCGCATCTGCACTGTCCCTTCCACGCTGCCCTTGTGTGTCCTCAGTGTGAGTGTGGTGCACAGTCCAGATGTGTGATGTGTCCTGCAGGGGGGACGTCTAAAGGAGCCTCTGCAGAAGCTCAAGGAAGCCATCAGCCGAGCGATGCCAGAGCAGATGGCCAAGTACCAGGATGAATGCCAGGCGCACACGCAAGCAAAGGTTGCCAAGTAAGTGTCTCCCGTGGCGCCTGTGTCCTCTCTTCTCGACACTTCCCAGTGTTTACTTCCATTTCCACAGGAGACCCTGACTCTTCTTGAGCACTGTCACCATTGATCTGGCCAGTCTGAGATATTTAGGGGGTTGGAGGAAGAGGTGGCAAGAGGACTTTAGGGTCCCGCTTAATTCTGTTCATGCTCTTATAGGATGCTGGAAGAGGAGAAGGACAAAGAGCAGAGAGAACGGATTTGTTCCGATGAAGATGAAGATGAAGAAAAGGGAGGCAGAAGGATAATGGGGCCCCGGAAGAAATTCCAGTGGAATGAAGAAATCAGGTGTGCTCAGACTGGGGCCTCGCGGAGGCTGTGGGGGGCCAGAGTCAGCGTGTCTGCTGTGGCTGAGGAAAGCTAGGGCCATTTGCTCGCATGAGCGCTGCTCAGAGCGCATTTGGGGCAGTTTGGAGATTGTGATTTCTGCCTACTCCTCAGAGAGCTGCTTTGCCAAGTGGTGAAGATCAAACTGGAAAGTCACGACCTGGACAGGAGCAAGGCCCCGGCATGGGAGGACTGTGTCAAGGCCTTTCTGGATGCTGAGGTGAAGCCACTGTGGCCCAAAGGCTGGATGCAAGCCAGGTGAGAGCCAGTGTGGCCAGGTGGGGCTGGCCTGCAGGTGGCCAAGTGGGTGAGCCGGGCCACTGTGGGGCTGTCCTGTCCTACACCTTAACTACAGGGACACACAGGGACTGTGAGGAAGGGCGGTCACACGTGGGGTTTTGTCTTTGCTGTTCTTTGTCCCACTTCATTTCACTCCTCTCATGTCAGTGTGCATTTTCCTCTTTGGGCTGGTGGTTCTTGCTAGAAGCTGAGAGTTGGATTCGTCCTGGTCTTCTCGTGTGTGAGTAGCAGGACTGTTTGCCATTTGGCACTGAGTGCCAGCCCTGCATCTCAGTGGCTCTTTCGTGTGATGTTGCTTCCCATGAGTGGAGGTGTAATGTGGGACAGGAAGTGTTCTCTTTCTCTGTTTCTTTTTTTTTTTTTTTTTTTTTTAAGATTTCTTTTATTTATTTGAAAGACCGTTACAGGGAGAGCTAGAGACACAGAGAGAGGTCTTCCATCTGCTGATGGCTCAAATGGCTGCAACAGCCAGAGCTGAGCCGATCCAAAGCTAGGAGCTCATTCCAGGTGCAGGGGCCCAAGCACTTGGGCCATCCTCTGCTGCTTTCCTAGGCACATTAGCAAGGAGATGGATCTGAAATAGGGTAGCCGGGACTCGAACTGGTGCCCATATGGGATGCTGGCTCTGTAGGCCAGGGCTTTAACCTGCTGAGCCATAGCGACAGCCCTGGAGCTAGTTTTCTTGACTGGACCTGACTGAGCTGTGGTTTGGACCAATCACGGAGCCTTTGGGATTGCTTTTCTCTCCATATAGTTTGGACTCGTATAAAGAAAACTTTAGTTTTTCTGGAAGAGCACGCACTGTGGGTCACCCCACGTTTTGTTCCTGGGAGGGATGGCAGTAGGAGTGAGGAAGCTGCCACCGCCTTTTTGGGAAATGTAGAAAGAGAAATCTCAGGCAGAGCCATAGCTTTTCATGATAAAGCCCAGACTTCTTTCATCCTCTGACTTGAAATTCTGCTCACCTATCACGTGGTAGTTAATGAGGAGCAGCCACTGAGTACTAGGATCACTAGGTGCTTCTGTGGCCCAGTGACCCAAGGCCATATGCAAACGCCCAGTGTACTGTGTCTTTCAGGACTCTGTTTAAGGAGAGCCGACGAGGCCACGGACACCTGACGTCAATCCTGTGAGTATCTCAGTGTCTGCACTTCTCAGGACTGCTGCTCTGTGTCACCTTCTCTGGATAGCCTCTCAACCTTTTTCTGTGCCCATTCCTTTGAACAGGGCCAAGAAGAAAGTAATGGCCCCTTCGAAGGTCAAAGTGAAGGTGAGTCAGCCTGCACAGGACACACGCCAGCCATGCTCAGGAAACCTCTTCAGTAACTGTGGCAACTTGTTAAGATTGGCAGGTCCATTTCTGGGAGCAGTTGTGGATGGCACTCTTGAAGGTGCCCCAGGGCAGAGGCCTTGGAGGGGAGGGTGGGGGGCTTTAACCCCCTCTAGCTTCAGTTCTGTCGAATAGCCCCTACCTGGCCCAGTGCTGAGCCTGTTTGAGGATTAAGTGGGGTCTTGGTGGCTGCCCTCTGTGTGAGCCCCTGCAGATGTGAAGGGGAGACATGTCTGTGTACCTGTGAAGGTAGGTGTGGCTCTAGGGAGGAGATGTTTCATCACCTGTGTGGCACAGCCTAGAGTGACAGTAACAATGGAGCAAGTACAGGAGTGCAGAATAGACACTGCCACAGAAACCTCTGAGGCAGAGCAGTGGCTGTTTACTGGTGGCCTTCCCCGTACCTGAGCAGCCTGTGAGATGTGTGGATCACTTACTCCCAACCATCTTTTGAGCTCTATAATGTCTAAGACGCAGCATTAAGTACCAGGCATGCAGGCGTGACAGGATGGACCCTATTCTCTGGAACCTAGACTGAGGAGACAGGTGCTGGGAATATCAAGGATGAAAGGAACACTGGTTTCAGGTCATTCTCATGCTGCGCCTAAGCCTGATTGTGGGTGGTAGCTCTCCAAGGTCGTGTGAATGCCAGTAGGCAGGACCTCTCTGCATGAGTCTTACTAGACTCTTAGAGGAACAGAGAACATTTCCCTGTGTGGAGGTGGGGATAGGGCGTCCTTATCAACAAAGCCTGCTGGGGTAAATCCAGCCTGGCCAGCCGGACACACGCTGGAGGGTGCTAAAGTTGCATCACTGGAAGACAGGGCAGGGGCAGGTGTTGTAGAGGGTTAAGCCGCCACTCAAGAGAGCCGCATCCCATATTGGTATGTCAGTTTGAGTCCCTTTTGCTCCTCTTCCAATCCAGCTTCCTTCAGAGACATTCTGGGAGGCAGTTGATGATGGCTGTAATGTTTGGGCACCTGCCACCTACATGGGAGACCTGGTTCAAGTTCCTGGCTCCTGGCTGTTGAGGACATTTGGGGAATGAACCAGTGGATGGAAGATTGCTCTGTCTTTCCCGCTCTGTATTTCAAGTCCATATTTCAAGTATTCTGCATTTCAAGTCCATGAAAGTAAAATTAAAAGTAGCTAAAAGATAGATAGGAGAGGCAGATACCTGCTCTCTGCCATCCTTTGTCTGGGATGACACAGAAGGCACAGTTCTTTGCATCTTCAGTTGTTCTCACAACGGGCAAGTGTTAGGACCTTTGGATACCTTTCCACATCAGTGTTTCTGTTTTCCTCTAGGAATCGTCTGCTAAACCTGATAAAAAAGTTTCTGTCCCGTCAGGACAGATGGGCAGCTCCATAGCTTTGTCCTCAGAACTCCAGGGCGGAGGCCCGAGCCTTGGGGCCACAAGCAGAGAGCTCCCATCACAGCCATCTGGTGGCCCCGTCAGCCCTGCTCCTGTCTGCCTGGACGACTCACTGGATGAAGACTTGGGCCGTAATCCAACCTCCTCGGTGGAATCCGTGTCCAAGGAGCTGGCTGTGCTGAGTAGCAGAGCAGCAGGGAGCTCTGAATTCACACTACCTGTACCTTCCAAAGCGTCTGCAGACAAAGTTGGAGGTGTTCTGTGTACAGAGGAGAAAAGGAACTTTGCGAAGCCCAATCCTTCTGCCCCCCAGCCCACTAGCTCTCTACAATCCCCCCTCAATTTTCTGGCTGAACAGGCTTTGGCCCTAGGGCAGCCATCTCAGGAGAAAAAAGCAGAGAGTTCTGGCTACAAAGAGCTCTCCTGCCAGGCTCCCCTCAGCAAGGGCCTGCCAGAAGCTCACCAGTCCAAAGCAAAGCACCATGGCTTGCCACGGACGCCTCACGGACCCCCGGTGGCGGCTGGTGTGCCTGGCCCCCAAGTCAGAGTCCTTCACGCAGGCACCCAGCAGCAGAAAAGCTTCACCCCCCCCACCCCTTTTGTAAATAAGCTCCAAGGCCCAAAGGCCTCCTCTGCGCAGTGCCACCGTTCCCTCCTGCAGCTGGTGAAGACGGCGGCCAAAGGCCAGGGCCTCCATCCCCCCGCACCGGCCTCCACGGCAGCCTCCGGTGGCAGCTCTCAGAAGACCCCAGCCACGTCCTCCACTGCTCTGAGCCATGCAGCCAAGCCGCATTCAGCCAGCTCTGCGGGGCCGTCTTACAAGAATAACCCCTTTGCCGGCTCAGTCTCCAAACACGGGGTTTCTTCTGGCGGCTCCTCTGCTGGAGGAGCGCCGGTGCAGAGCTCTCCCCCCCAGCCCTTGTTCCCCAGCGTGCAGCCTCCCTCCGCAGGCCAGCCAGCCGGCCGGCCTGCGCCAAGCTCTGCCGTGAAGAAACCCCCTGTCTCCCAGAAGCTGACCCTGGTGGCTCCTCCTGGTGGTCCCAATGGAGATGCTGGTGGCGGGACCCAGGGAGTGGCGAAGTTACTGACCTCCTCCCTGAAGCCGGCTGCGGTCAGTAGTGTGGCGGCGCCTGCCTCCTTGCCAGTGAGTATCCTGGCAGCCCAGCCCACCCCCCTTGCCTTGCCCTGGGTGGAGAAGGAGATCCCAGACCAGTGGTTAGGTGGGGATGTGAGCTCGGGTGTCCCTTTCTGGTTACAGGAAGCCCAGGGTGCTGTGACTTCTGTAGGGGTACTGATGGAGCCGCAGGACCGCTCAGCACCGTGCCCGCAGGGAGTCTCAGTCTGGGGTGCACCCCGAGGCGCAGGATCTGCCCATCTCTCTGAGCAAGGGGGTAGAAGTGCTGTCAGTGGCCGGCGGTAGTGAGTGGGCACCTTCTCAGTGGCTCTGCAGGGGGAGAGGTAGTCTACGCAGGCCAACAGTGAGGAGTCCTGCTTGGGCATTGCTCTTAGCAATTTGGACACAGGTTGGGGAAGTGAGAAAGAGTTTTTTCTTTGATTTTCCCAATACACCCTTCTAGCTGTGGTTGCAAAACAATGACAGAAATGTCTGTCTAGGGAGGCATCACTTCCCTCTTCCCACCACTTTGTTTTCCCTGTTTCTTCTTAAAAACAAAGATTAATATATAACTGATAGCTTAAGAGGGTACTTGCAGCATTGATGGAAAATGGAATTTAAAGATAAATTATTGTGGTGCAAAAATTTTTGAAATCCCCACATAGTTTTTTCACATGTTTCTCATGCCCTTTTGTATGGCTGTGTGTGTGCTGTGGCTGTCAGTGTCCATGCACACGTGAGTGCCTGTCTACATGGACGTTTGTGGATATTGATGCATATATTTTCCATTTCTCCACAAAGGCATATTTAATATCCTGGTTTTAAAAATTGACTCTGTACCCTGAAAACCACTGCATGTCGTCTCTGTGGGCTGCGGAGGGAGAGGGTTGCTGGCACAGGGGCGTTCCACATGCACGTGCCCCTGTCCTGCGTGGCTCAGGCTGGCTCGTGGGTTACCTGTGAGCGTGAGCAGAGTTCTCACTGTGGCTGTTTCCTCCCCAGAAAGGAACGAGTGGGGCTGTGCTGCTGACCAGCTCTTCTCCTTTAAACCTGCTGTCCTCGTCCTACAAGTCCACCAGCCCGAAGCTGCCTGGGGCCATGAACTCGAACTCGCTGGGAATTATAGCCCCCGTCCCGTTTCCTCTCCATGTGCTCTCCTTCAGCGCCGACTCCTCTGCCAGAGCAGGGGTCTCCAAGGATGCCATCGTCACAGGCCCTGCCCCTGGCACCTTTCACCACGGCCTCAGCCCCAGTAGGTGTTTCTGCTCTCTATCCTGGGGAGCCTCTGGGCTGTGACCACGGGTCCCTGTGGTGTGTGTACTGTGTTCGTGTGTGTGTGTGTGTGTCTGGCGTGTGCTGGGGGGGAACATCTCTGGGGACTGTGAGCCCTCTCCCTCGGGTGTGGAGCCCAGACCAGTCCAGCAGGTCATCTGTGGCTCGTAACTGCCAGAGGCACTTTCCTGTCCCGTCTTCAATGTGTGTGTTTTGTTCTTTTCTCCCTCCTGTCTTCTCTCAGGTCTTCTGGCTGGCTTGCACCCCAGCCCACCCCACGCAGCGCCTCTCCCACACGCTGCCTTGTCCACCCATATCCCGCAGACTCTGCCAGGTAATCACAGATGGGCAGTGTGCCGTGTGCACTGTGAGCTCCTCCCCATTCCACCTGTAGCCGCTTGTCTACTCTTGAGGGTTTCAGTGTCGTGGCCTGTTGTCACTGTGTTGACGTCTTGGTTTGTCCTTGAAGGCTCTGGCTCTGTGGGTGCTCCGAATGACAAGGGGTTCTGCACTTCCCGTCTGTCCCCACTTGAAGCTGTTGCTTAGCCAGCTTTCGACTGGGTGATTACAGAGAAGGTTGTGGGTCCTGCGAGCGAGGCCGAGGCATTCCTGCTGCTCAGCTCGCCGTCTCTTGATTTAGAAACAAGGCAGGTAGTGGTGCATATCCTCGGGCTACCTAGGCGCAACAAGACTTTTAAATCCAAGCAGCTGTGCCCTCCCAGCGCTAGCAGTAACCAGAGGCTCCCTGAAGTTCCTTTTCCCTCGGAGGGAAAATCCACGTAGCACGAAGGGCTTTCTGGAAGGGCAGCGACTTCCGATGCCAGCGAGCGTCCCAGACAGGAGCAGTTCCTAAGCCTGCACAGACGTGGAAGGGGAAGCAGAGACGCGGGAGCAGCCAGGAGTGAGGCCGCAGGCGCTGCGGACCAGGGCTTCAGACCTGGCGTGGTGACCGAGGGCAGCACGGAGACGCCTGTGCCCAGGTGGCTTTGCCTTGTCCTGGACTCGTGATTCGTGGGTGCATTTTGTGGAATTTGGTGCAGGAAGCTTCATGATGTCTTGGTTTTGACCGAGTAGTCTCTTCCTACTCCAGCCCTGCCCCAAGCATGACTGGGGGACGATGTCCCAGTTACCCTCCTGATCTGTGGCTCCTGAGGCCTGAGGCCTGCTGGGTCAGGAATGGACTTGGAATCTTCCAAGGGGCAGTTTGCATCTTTGAGGGCCCCACCTATGCCCACAGTCAGCCCTTTGTTCTGGAGAGCAGTAGCTGCAGTGACTCCCCTCCCCCAGGGCACAGTGGTAGCGTGCTCCCTCCCCCAGGGCACAGAGTGATAGCATGCTCCCTCCCCCAGGACACAGAGTGGTACGTGCTCCCTCCCCCAGGGCACAGTGGTAGTGTGCTCCCTCCCCCAGGGCACAGTGGTAGTGTGCTCCCTCCCCCAGGGCACAGTGGTAGTGTGCTCCCTCCCCCAGGGCACAGAGTGGTAGCATTCCCTCCCCCAGGGCACAGAGTGGTAGCATTCCCTCCCCCAGGGCACAGAGTGGTAGCATTCCCTCCCCCAGGGCACAGAGTGGTAGTGTGCTCCCTCCCCCAGGGCACAGAGTGGTACGTGCTCCCTCCCCCAGGGCACGGAGTGGTAGTGTGCTCCCTCCCCCAGGGCACAGAGTGGTAGTGTGCTCCCTCCCCCAGGGCACAGAGTGGTAGTGAGTGTGCTGAGAGAGACCTGCGCTGGGCAGAGTTACTCTTGCAGAGAAAACGATGGGAGAGACGCTGCCAGCAGACGGTGTGCTGTGGGACTCCGCCCCCCACAAAGGATCGCCATTTTCCTCTTTTTCCTCAGGATAGTAAAAGGCTATCAGAAAAGCAGCTCTGCTCAAACAGCAGTTTGATCCAAGTGGCCCTCCTCCCCTCAGTGGACTTCAGTTGCAGGGTCACGTGAGGGCCGCGAGGGGCCAGCTGCCTGCGTGTCGGCACGTCAGCCATGGCTGGTGTCTGCTTAGCTTACATTTCTTCCCCGTGTGGACGTGGCATGCTCGTGTCTTTGAGTTTGTTTCTGCTTAACCCGAGGGTCTTTTTTTTTTTGATGGTAGAGGAGTGGTCATCGCTACCTTGAGCTTATATGGTCAGGAGGCCTTACCAGGGCAAGGCAGGGATAGCCAGAGACTTAAAGTGACCGGGCTGCATAGCGGAGTTGCCATCCGTGAGCCGTGCGCAGCTGCCGCCGCCTGCACAGCACCCGTGTCCATGCATGTCGCAGGCTGCCGCGAGTGGCACGCACACATGGCCGCTGGCGGTCGTTTGCTGTTGGAGCCTTTGCTTTGCGTTCAGAGGTATTAAGTGACCCTCCTGAGGGTTGGCTACTGCTGCCATGGGGGCGTCGGAGGCCTGTTCCCTGATTCTCTGTGTTCTGCTTTCGCTTGTTCTTTTTCAGATGCTTCTCAGCTTCACGGGAAGGGGCCCGGTGTACCACGGAAATTATGACTGCTCCAAGGAGAGGCTCGACCGACGTTGGCTGTGTAGGTCTTGGATCACGGATCCTCGCTGTCCTCTGTATGCCAGCTGGTTTGCTTTGGGAACAGGTGTGAGTCCTGAGTGGAGCACTTGGCACTTCTGAGGTGCCTTCAACCAAGGGAGCCACTGACGAGGCGCTTCACGACGCTGGTGCCTGCGGCCTTGTGGCTTTGTTGCCCGACGGTGGTCGGAGGGCAGTTCTGGGCAGGGGAGCGTGTGTTTACAAGACTGGCGGCAGAGCTGTGGTTCAAATCCATCCGAACCCGAGTGCCTCCTGGCACCTAGCGGCCAGGGGCTCCTTCTGGCCACAGGCAAGGCTGGGAGACCTACCTGATCTCTTTGCAAAATACTGAGAACATCTAATATCTGGCCATTGTGAAGGGCCAGTTTCTCCTGGGAACCTGACAATGAAGCTCTTACAGAGAAATGACCTTTGTAGATTCAACAGTTGTAATAGGATTTTTAAAGACACCTATTTTGGGCTCAGTTTTCATGGTTACCATTAAATGCATTGGATGGACTGGGACAATTCTTTACACATCATATTTTAGGAAGATGTAATTCCAGTGCCTTTATGGTGGGGCAGGATTTGACAGTGCACATCCATTCAGCCCGCTGAGTGGACCTGCTGTGGAGACCTTTTTAGAAGATGTGTCTGTATTGAAGACGTAGCCAGTTTTGTTTGAGTTTTTTACAGTTGCACATCACGATCTGTGCTGTCTTGCCTTGCAGGTCGTCTGGGCCCCACAATCCCAGGTCCCTGTTGAGCAGGGCTCTTGTTTTGTTTTTCCAGAGTTCACGTGGGTGGACTGCCGGGCCCCAGAGCCTTTGACCTCTCTGAGGGCCAAGGATAACGAGGGGGTCCAAGTCATAGATAGACATTCCGGTTTGTCTTAACTCTTAGACATCAGTCTTGGGCAGAGCTGCGGGAACAGGCCTCTGCAAGGTCTGCCGTGTGCGAATAGGCCTGGAAGTCCTGGACTCCAGACAGCCGCACGGAGGAGGGGAGAGTGGATCCGAGGCAGGCTGGGACGCTGACTGCGTGCTGGGTCACACTCGGCCAGTGGCGGTTTCACAGGGACTCTGAAGGCCTTTGCCTGTCCTGTGACTTCTGTGCCACGCTGAGTCTGACCTGACTGCTGCCGCTAAGCCGTTTCAGACATGTTGAGGGTGTGCATGTGGCACACGCACAGCTGTGTGAAAACTCGAGCAGCCCTGGGGCCCCTGCCTCCCAGGGCACCCTGCTCAGCAGCTCAGTTCCTGCCTTCGAGGAGCGAGGGGCGCAGCCTCTTAGCCCTCCGCCGGCCTCTGCTCTGATCGCTTTTTTACATAAGAGCCGATCTGTGTTTTACATTGGGCTACACGGACTCCTTATCCCTTCATTATGTATGTGTTTTGCAACTTGGATTTCCAGTTTGTTTACAGAATAGTCTTAGGTAGTAGCAGAAGAGCCAAAGAAGAGATTTGTACAGCTGAGCTCAGAGCCAGCAGAGCAGAGGCCGTCAGTGAAGGCTGAGCAGTGGGCGTTCTCTGCCCGTGACACCCGGGTCCCAGCCCCTCCCCCTCCCTTCCCTGCTGGTGCTCCCTCCTCCCACGTACCACTGAGTGTGCAGCTGGAGCAGGAAACCCTCTTTTTAGGAATCTAGTGATGCCTCTTGCCTCAGGGAAATGTTTCTTTGATGGGGAGTTTGAGATTTCTTTTTCTTGTTTATGCTTTATTTGTGGTAATGGAAGAGTGAGTGACTTAAGCAGCCATGGCAAGGCAGATACACGGGCCCGGCTGCAGCGGAGGGTTGGGCAGAGTGGCTCAGGGCCTCGGTGCTGCAGGGGTTTGGTGTCTTGGGTGCAGCAGAGGGTCTCTGAGCACTTCCCAGGCGTGGCCGTTTCTTAGGTGTGAGAGGGGCTGTGGCTTTTTGTGCAGCCACCGTGTTGGTGTTAGGGGGTGGTGTGGAAATTGTTAATCTTGTATAAAGCAACTCAATAAATTCTTTCAAGGTTTCCAACACGTTTTTCCTCTTTTACTTCTACCCTCTTTGTAAGTGATTGTTCCTCCCATAGGGGCTTGGCTATGTGGACTGTCCATTGTAGTTCCAAGAGGGGAGAAGAGGCCTCAGATGCCAAAGGGGACGAAACACGCTTGCCGTGAGAGGAGAATCAAGCCACCAGGTTTTTATTTTCATGCTATAAATACAGTTCCCTATTGCCTGCCACTTTCTTACATAATACATGCAAGGTTAGGGTTATAGAGATGCAGAGAACCAGAAACTTAATTGGTGAATAATCAGCTGTCTGATATACCTAAATACCGGTGAGATCATAAGCAAGACTTGTAAGGCGTTTAAACCAGGGCTAACAGCAACACAGTCCACTACTCAGATGCTTCCATTTCAGAACCATAGAACAGTCTCTGACGGTGCGTTTTCCTGGGAGAGTCTGGCTGACAGTTCTCGTCCACTGTAGCAGCGAGGCCCAGACACCGTGCTGGGTCCCGTGCACCTTTTCTGGCACAAAGCCCAGGTGTGTCGTACGAGCAGAGCGAGTGCGGAGGAAGCCTCTCTGAGGCAAAGTTGGTTCTTGGCCAGAACCCTGGAGGATTACAGGTGCAGGCAGGCAGCCCTCAGGGGCCTGGTCCTCCGGTGAGATAAAGGCCCACGGAAGGAGTCCTTCCGGCCACGGCATCTGGCCGTTGGCTAAGTGCAGGCCCTTGCTGCCTGGAGCAGGCTCGTGTGCCATGGTCTCGTGCACCAGTCATTTACAGATGGTCTCTAGGCATCACATGGAATCTGTTGCTGGGAAAACGTGAGAGAAGGGAGAAAAAGGAACGGCACTGGGGTTCTGAGATCACTGGGGTCAGGGCGGTCACTCGGGCAGGCAGGACGACAGCCGAGACGGGAGGTGCCTGCCGTGAGTTGGTGCCTGTTCGCTCCTCTGTGAGCCGAGGGTGAGGGCTAGATGCTGGGCTCCGCATGGGCGCTGTGCCTACTTCTGCCCGGACACCAAGACGGCCAGCTCCTGGATGGACATCTCCTTGTTGACGTAGCGCTCGTACTGCGCGGGGCTCAGCCGGCCGCTCTGCAGGGCCTCTTCAATGGAGAACTTCTTGCCGGACTTCCTGTCGTGGATCACCGAGGACTCCCCGTTGGGACCCTTCACTGAGATCTCCTCCCAGTCGCACTCCTGGCTCCTGAGTTTCACAAACATGTTCCAGTCGATGAGCCCGGCCCGGTGGGCTTCCTCGGGGGACAGCTCCCGGCCCGAGTCGGGGTCGATGACCACGATGGAGCGCCGCAGGTGGTTCTCCCTCTGCTCCCTCTTCACGGCCACAGAGCCCAGGCGCTTCTGCAGCTCGTCAATCTCGAGGTCTTTGTCCTTGGAGAGCCTCTTGAGGTCGTCCAGTTCTCGCTCCAGGGACCACAGCCTGGAGTCGAGGTTGCCCCCCGCGTCAGCCGCAGGCGAACTGCGCGCGTCTCGCGCCTCCGTCGCGGCCATCTGGATCTCCGACTGGAGCCTCCGGGTTTCGAGCTGCAGGTTCTGCCGCTCCAGCTGCAGCCTGTGGTTTTCCTCCCTCAGGAAGTCCAGTTCCTTGGACGACTTGGAGTTGCAGAACTCCAGCTCGGACAGCTTGGCCTCCAGCCGACTCACCTCGGCGTCCAGCTCTCTCTTGCCGCGGCTCTCCTCCTCCAGACTCTGCCGGAGCTTCTGGATCTCCTGCTCCGTGTCGCCCTTCTCGACCTGCACGCTCTCGGACACGACCACCTTCTCCTTGACCTCCGCCTTCTCCAGGGCGGCCAGCTGCCCGCGCAGGGCCTCGAGCTCGCCCTCCAGCAGCTGCCGCCGGTGCCGCTCCTCCTCCAGTTGCACCGTGAGCATGGCGTGCTCCCTGGCCTGCTGGGGGTCCTGCTGCAGCACCACCTTCTGCTTGCGGGTCACCGTCTCACGGGCCTCGGCCGCCTCGCGCTCCAGCACGGCCAGCCTCTGCTGCAGCCGCTGCGCTTCCTGCTCGGCCTCCCTGCGCGCCTGGCGCTCGCGCTCCAGCTCCTGCAGCTGGCGCTCGAGCTCCCCGCGCCGCTGCTGCAGCCGCCGCAGCTCGGCACGCAGCTTGTCGATCTGCCGCAGCTCCGCGTCGATGCTCTCGGTGAAGGCGCTCACCTCGGCGCGCAGGCCCGGCTCCTCCTCGTACTGCACCACCTCCTGCTGCACCACCCTCTCCGTCACCTGCGACAGCTCCTCCTCCTTCTGTCTGATCTTCTCTTCCTGGGCCGCCCGCTCCCTGTCCAGGTCCACTTGCTTCTTCTGCTCTTCCGACAGCTTCGCCCGCAGCGACTCCACTTCCTCCTTGGTTTGGGGGTCCTCCTGGAACTGCAGGATCTCCTGGACCACCTCTTTGGTCTGGACCTGGGGCTTGGAGTCTTTGAGGGCCTGGATTTCCTGCCTCAGCTGGTAGACCTCCAGGTCGCAGCGCTCGATGAGCCTGGTCTTGTCGACGATCTCCTCCCTGAGCCGCTGCAGCTCCTCCTCCGTCTCGGGGGCCGTCTTGTACCTGATGACCTCTTTAGTCACCTCCTTCACTTCCACCTGCGGGCCCCGCCGCCGGAGCGCCTCCAGCTCGCTCTGGTAGCTCTGCAGCTGCTCCTCGGCCGCCCGGTACTTGCGCTCCTGCTCCACGAGTTCCAGGCGGAGGTTGGCCACCTGGCTCTCGGCCTTGGGGTCGGGCCGCACGATCTCGCGCACCTTCTCCTGCACCACCACCTTGGCGTTCTCCTCCTCCAAGGCCCAGATCTTGCGGAGCAGCTCCGTCTTCTCCCTCCGGCTGGCGCGCGCCTGGGCGGCCTCGTCCTCGTACTGGCGGGCCAGCTCGCCCACCTCCCTCTCGGCGGCCGCGTCCCTCTCCACCGTGAGCACCTCCTTGACCGTGACCTTGCCCTCGGCCATGGCCCGCTCCCTCTCCAGCCTCTTGAGCTTGTCCTGCAGGAAGCTCAGCTCCTCCTCCTGCCGCTCCCTGAGCGCGCCCTCCCGCTGGCGGTCCTCCTGCAGCTGCCGGTACTCGGCCTCCAGCTGGGGGTCGTTCTGCAGCTTGACCACCTCCCTCTCGGTGACCACCTCCTGCGGCCGGCTCTTCTCCTCGGCCAGGGCCGCCACGCGCTGCTGCAGGAGCAGCACCTCCGCCTCGCGGGCGCCCTTCTGCCGCCTCAGCGCCTCCAGCTCCTCGCGCAGGCGCAGGACCTGGTCTCCCTGGGCGGCGTCCGGCTCAATGCGCAGCACCTCCTTGACCACGCACTCCTGGCCTCCGCCGCGGGCCTCCTGCTCCAGGGCGCGCAGCCGGGGCTGCAGCGCCTCCAGCTCGGCCTGCAGCAGCCGGTTCTTGTGCTGCTCCTCGGCCAGGGTCTGCTGCAGCTGCTGGAAGCTTCGCTCCAGCGCGGGGTCCGGCACCCTCTTGACCACCTCCTGCGTCACCACCGCCTCCTGAGGCCGCTGGGTGCGCAGGCTCTGGATTTCCTCCTGGGCGCTCCTGACCTCGTTCTCCAGCTGCTGCCGCCTCTCGGTCTCCTCGTCCAGCTCCTTCTTCATCTTCCACGTCTCTCCCACGCCCGAGCCCGGCTCGCTCCCCTGTGGCGTCTCCCGGGTCGCCTCCACGCCTGGCTGCTGTGAGGGAGAAGACCACACGTGGTGAGAGCCAGACTCACTGCCGCGGCACGTGCCTCCCCTGTCCCCGCCTGGCCCAGGGGGTCTGGGGCACCTGCACACGGGTCGGTTGGACCGCTTGCCCGCTGGGCCCCGAGGGGCTGTCTGAGGGCTGGTTCACGTCAGCCGCAGGGTTACTTGGGAAAACGGCCAAACAAGGAGTCCAGCTTTGTGACGTCAAACCAAGGCAAGACTTCACAAGTGCAGAAGTCTGAAGGGATCCCGCAGCGTCCCCGCCGCGGTCAGCTGGTCCAGGGCCTCACCCGTGGGGCACTGCCCGGGCTCACGGCAGACACGCGTGCAGTGCACTGCACACACAGAGGGCAGCAGCGAAGCAGCACCGTCTGCCACGGGGCGGGGGGGGCAGGCCCTTGGGCAAGGAGCCCACTGCTGGCGACATGGCATCGCTCCCAGGCCCTTGCCGTGCGGGGGCTATCGTAAACGTTATGGACGTTCGAAGATAACTCTGACCTGATTAGGCACTCAGCAGCTGGTTACTGAATTGAATATGTAAGTTAGCCATCTTCCTGTCAACGTGAGTGCCGGCCTGGGCCCGCCTCCATGCTGCTACCGCCCAGAGACGTTAGCAGGGAAGGGCCATGCCTGCAGGGAGGAGCCCTCGCCGGTGGGAGGAGTTCTAGGTGGAATTTCTCCCTCAGATCAGTTACCTGCCGCAGGAGATGGAGCGCAAACTCCAGGTTCTGCAGCCGCTGTCTGTTGACGGCATTGACTTCCGTGAACTTGGCCGCCAGAGCCGCTTCCTGCAAAGAAGCCGGCACACAAGTCAGCAGGCTGAGCAGCGAGGAGCTGCCAATGCTTGGGGCGCAGTTTCTGTCAAGTCTGGTGTGTGCGTGTCGGGGGTTGTGTGACAGGCTCACTGGCAGAGAGCCAGCCAGGTGTAGAGTCGGGGCGTCCAGGTTTCAGTCTCGACCCCGCGGTGCGACCCGACCCCGAGCGAATCTTCACGTTCCTGTGTGTGAGGGTCTGGTCCTAGCGGCCCTCTACTGTGTGTTTACAGAGGGGAGGAGGGGAGGGGAGGGGAGGGAGGCGACTCGAGCTCCATGGCTCTGGCCTAGAAACTTACACCAGGCCGTCTCTGTATCCTATCGATGTCGCTGCCCAAGAACCAGTTCCTTATCTTCTACCAAACCTGCATGGACCCAGGAGGGCTGTCGGCCTGGTTTGCCCTGCGTGTGTGCGGCCTGCTCTCCGCCGGCGCCGGGCTCACCTCTTCCTTCACCTTGGCGGCGGGGGCCTGCAGCCGGGCTCTCTTGCTCACGTGGCTGTTCCTCCCGTTCTCCAGGTCGAGAAGGGATCTGAG